TTTTTTTTTTTTTTTTTTTTTTTTTTTTTTTTTTTTTTTTTTTTTTTTTTTTGAGAAGTGACCAGACACTAAATGCTGAGTTTGGCAAGTTTAGAAAGGACAATGAGTTTTTGGAATAAATTTGACTCCGTAATCCATCATGAAGTTGTTTTTAAAGGCTGGAAGATAAACTGATACATTAAGTTCACGGGCTCTTCACATAACAGTTCATTACATATTGATCCATCTTGTTGCCAAATATCAGGATATTTACATTATCTGATTGTAACTAAAAGAGACGTTCCACTGAAATGATTAGTCTGATATTAGACTTGTAGGTAGAGCTGACGTCTTTAAGATTGCATTGAGGTTGAGACAGAGTTCATGAGCTTATTAGAGGATTGAGAGTGGACTATAACCATAAAATACACATCTCAACCATGATAAGACCAGCATCTGTTATCACCTTTAATAAAATTTTACTGTCTTTGTCTTTTCGGGATTTATCTGTGAATATTAGATTTTAGGTAAATGAAAAGTTAATCAAAGTTGTTTTATTGTGTGTTTCTCTCTCTGTCTTTCCCAGATGGCTTTTACCGTGGTGATAAGCTGATCAATCTGAAGCTTATAGCTGACGAGGCGCTACAGAAATGCAGGGACAAGTATGATAACCACTAGTTAACTAGTAAATAGTAAATAAATAGTTGTGCAGTGCTTATCATATGTGCACGTACTCACAGTGGCCACTTCATTAGGCTCAGTTTGTTAAACGTGGACGAGCAGAAGTAAAGGACCATGATAGAAGATTGGGAAAATTATGCTTGTTCTAATACAGTTCTGAATCAGTTCCACTTAATAACTTTGCTCCCTGAATGATTCTTTAAGAAAATATTTCAAGTAAGAAATACTGGACTGGACAGTGTTTGGCAAATGGCATTTACTGATCATTTTAGATTTCAACACAACTAATAACAAATCAGGAAATATTACAATTTAAAATTAAATTTTTTTTTGTTTGTTTTTTTTCATTTTTAAAATGGATTCCTGTGACGCAAACCTGAATTGTCAGCATCATTACTCCAGTCTTAAGTGTCGCATGATCCTTCAGAAATCATTCTAATATGCTGCTCATGAAATACTGGACACCTAATTAAGTGGCCACTGTAGCAGTGTATGTGAGTGTCTCTGTTTCAGTTCACTTAATTATTTCGTGTCTTTTACTGTGTCAGGTCTTTCACAGTGGAGAAATGTATAATGCTAAAACACCTCACAAAAGAAGATGAGGCTTGGTCTGGGTCGCTGTCGCCCCCAGCGAAACGCTCCTGCCCTGATCTGCAGGTGAGCTTAACCCCTGCACCACAGCTGTACAGCTAGCAGCCTTCACACTTTCCGTTTTTTCATCTTAATTTGTTTCTCGCTCAATTGGATATCTCCACATTGCTACAGGGTTTTTTGTAAGAAGTCCTTAAGCTCACCAAGGCTGCATTTATTTGATCAAAAGTACAGTAAAAAGATTAATAATGTGAAATATTTTTACAATTTAAAATAACAGTTTTCTATGTTTAATATATTGAAAAATGGAATTTATTCCTGTGACAGAAAAGCTGAATTTCAGCATTGCTCCAGTCTTCAGTGTCACATGAGCCTTCAGGAATGATTTGCTGCTCAAGAAACACCTCTAATTATTATTATTATTATCAATGCTGAAAACCGCTACGCTGCTTAATATAAGTTTTCCTCATGAGCACATGCGCTAACCACTAGGCCTATGAGCTGACTTTCTAATATAGGTTAAAAAGCAGCCACACATGCTTTGCGCATGAAAATAAGTAGGCCTTCATGTATTATAACACCTGAATCAATGGAGAGCTGTCTAGGAGGTAAATGGGAACTAGATTCAGATGAAAAAGTACTGCAGTGTCCCTTTGTTCTGGTTTCTCAAATGTTAACTCTTGTCCTGTACATCTCCTGTGGAGTTTTGCATTGTTCTGAGTGTCACAGATATCTCTTGCTTATTTAACAAAGTTTGGTCACTGTTGTAAATCCATAAAGGCCTGGCGTGATTTCTCTGAGCTGTTGTGCTGAAGACCTTTGCAACAGTTGAATGTAATATGTGTGACATTCCTCAATGCAAGATGACCTGTTTTAAAACCATAATTCTAATAATGTCCGTTGGACTTTTATGTGAAATATCTTTGGCATTTCATTTCCTCCTTCAATGTGGGTCCATGTCTGTGTGTCCTTTTCCTCTTTCAGTGTAAGTAATCTCTCCATTAACCCCCTTTAGCAGGAGAAACAGAAAGAAAGAGTAAGGAAGGTCCGTCCCCCCCCACAGGTATTTCATGTCTCCTTTGTGCATAACTCATTTTGTTTAAACTCCTCCTGTCTTATTAACACAGGTTTGTGTGCTCATGGGCGGCTCTCTCGCTCTTTGGATGGCTCGAGACTTTTATTACTATCCTCACATTCTCACAGAACACAATGTGTGTGTGTGTGTCTCTCTCTGTGTGTTTGCTTTTGCAAATGCAATTTACACATGCATCAGACTTGGCGTTCAACAGTAAGTTACGAGGCCATAATTTAAAGGCATATTCTTGCTTTGTTTTCAGAGCCATTATTGTCTTAATGCATAGAAAATGTTAAATAATTCTTCATTAAATCTGAAAAAATCAACTGCTGTTCAGTATTATAAAGTTTGTGAATGATGGTTATGATGAAGTGTTTCCATTTGATTTGAGCGCCAATTCTGATCCATAAGCTGGCACTGAAAACCTTTTACTGTGCCTAGTAAAAGTACTGATAGTCACATTTCTGGCAAATGACTGGTGTGTCCTTGTGTCCGTGTTCTAAATGATCTCCTCACATAAACTTTATTGGTCCACTAGTGCACGATTTCATCACAAATGTATCTGGAAAGCTTTTATATCGTTATAGTGACTAGAGACTAGCTAATAGCTCTCTCAAACACTAACTCTCTCCTATGAGCTTAAATGAACTCAAGTGCACCGCTCACGTAGTGTTCCCTCAGTCTCTGAACTGCATGGAAAAACTAGATTTGTAGAGTTGTCTGTTACGTTCATGTCTCTTTTTGTTTGTCCGTTAGTGTTTTTGTGTTTTGTGTTATTAACTCAACCTGATCTTTTCAGATGCTTTCTCTTTCAGTTTTGAGAATGTCTTTGACTAAAGCAGATGGGCTTTTGCGCTCCATTCACTTTGGTTAGATTGAACTGATTGAATCAAATAAGTCTGACTGAAATAAATACAAACATGAGCCTCTAAATAATGTTACATGCATTATTTGCATACAGCACCCTTTGCATTTCAAGTTGTCTGTTACGTTCATGTCTCTTTTTGTTTGTCCGTTTTTTTTGTTTTGTGTTATTAACTCAACCTGATCTTTTCAGATGCTTTCTCTTTCAGTTTTGAGAATGCCTTTGACTAAAGCAGATGGGCTTTTGCGCTCCATTCACTTTGGTTAGATTGAACTAATTGAATCAAATAAGTCTGACTGAAATAAATACAAACATGAGCCTCTAAATAATGTTACATGCATTATTTGCATACAGCACCCTTTGCATTTCATCCTTTTGTTGCTTTCAAGTCATTCTGGAATGAGTGTGTTTACAAGATGAACGCATTTTTATCATCTCAATGACTTTTCCCCTTTAAAAACAAACAGAAAACTCATTGTAATCTGAAGGGGTTAAAAAAGTCCTCCTTTTTTTACTGTGGTTAAGCAGTCTCATTTCATCCTTTTGTTGCTTTCAAGTCGTTCTGGAATGAGTGTGTTTACAAGATGAACGCATTTTTATCATCTCAATGACTTCCCCTTTAAAAACAAACAGAAAACTCATTGTAATCTGAAGGGGTTAAAAAAGTCCTCCTTTTTTTACTGTGGTTAAGCAGTCTTATTGTCAACTAAAACTTCAAAATTATTTCTGTTAAATATAATAAGGCTGCAACTAAATATAAATATTAGATATGAAAGCTTGAACTAAAAAACCTTAAACGAAAATTAGAAAATCTGTCTTGGCAACTGATTTAAAATGAAAACTGAACATATACCTAAACGGAAAATAGAATAAAAATAGCTAAATAGAGATTAAAAAATGACAAAAGCACATAAAAAAATGATTAAAACTTATACTAAAATTAAAATGAAAATTGAACATATCTAAATAGAAAATAGAATAAAAATAGCTAAATAGAGATTAAAAAATGACAAAAGCACATAAAAAAATGATTAAAACTTATACTAAAATTAAAATGAAAATTGAACATATCTAAATAGAAAATAGAATAAAAATAACTAGAGATTTAAAAGAAAAAATGAATAAAAATGACAAAAGCGCATAACAAAATTACTAAAACGTAAGCTAAAAATTAAAATGAAAACTGAAAATACCTAAATAGAATAAAAATAGCCGAATAGAGATAAAAAAAAACTAATAAAAATGACACAAGCACATAACAAAATTGCTAAAACTTGAACTAAAATTAAAATGAAAACTGAACGTATACAAATAAAATCTCATTTAAAATATTAAGAAAAAACAATAATAGTGAAATAGCACTGATCTGGTTGTGTAACACCAACATAATTGCTGTTGGTAGAGTTTGCTCTGTATAAAATGTGTTTGTAAATGAGGAAGTAACTAGAATTACTTTTTATAGATGATTGTGACATCAGACAATATTACTCACTTAGCCAGTTTATGAGACAGGCTACCAAACTACGTTTCCTTTTATCCTCTGTGACAGTACGAAAATGATAAAGCACATATAAATATTTACACACCTGATGTACATACTTGGCTACAAGGCACAACTGAAATCACTTGAACACACGTAATGTTATAACAAAGTAGGGATTCTCTTGACTTGAAAGCAGCATTTGTTCTGTTCAGCCCAGCATCATTTACAGTTTATGACCTTCTCAGACTGATTTGATTTGTATTGTTCTCTTAAGTGTGACACCAGCAAGAGTAAACACAAGTTATACGGGACGAGTTAACTATGAGCACTCTCTGTGCTGTGATTGGTGCAGGTGCCGTGGAATCCTGAGATTGATTTGTGTTGGCACTCTCTGATTGGTGGAGCATCAGAGGAGTGTGAGCCTGTCTGGTGTGATTCAGAAGACCCGCTCTTCATCCTCTACACCAGCGGCTCTACTGGGAAACCTAAGGTAGATCCTCCAAACAACCCAATCCTCCTTCAACTGTGTGATATTTGCTTTTCATATATATCTCATATATATTTGTTCCTATTTTTCTACCACTCCACTAGGGTGTATTGCATACAGTGAGTGGCTACATGCTTTACACTGCGGCCACCTTTAAGATGGTGTTTGATTATCACTCTGATGATGTGTACTGGTGCACTGCAGACATTGGTTGGATCACCGGTCACTCATACATCACATATGGGCCGTTGGCCAATGGTGCGACCAGTGTGTTGGTGAGGGGGACGTCCTGATAAGCACTTTTTGTGTTAGAATTTGCATTTTGCCCTGTGCAGTCACTTTCTTGTGATTAAAACATTGACTCATCTACGTAAGCATTTATTGTTGTATAATATGAATTTTTAATCTTCTATTTATAGTTTGAGGGTCTTCCCACATACCCGGATGTGAGCCGAATGTGGGAGATTGTTGATAAATATCACATCTCCAAGTTCTACACAGCACCCACCGCCATCCGGCTCTTGATGAAGTATGGCAGCGAGCCCGTTCAGAAGTAAGTTTGGTGTCTATTGTGTCTGTCCTAGATTTAGTACACTAAAGAGGCTTGCCACAGTCATGAAAAATGTGTAAAAAATCAGACCATTTTAAAATTGTGATTTCTGAGCCTGAAAAAGTCATGGAAATTAATAAAGCCTAAAAAGTCATGGGAAAACAAAACAACTTATACATATAGGAACATATAGGAAATGAAAATTACCGTTCAAAAATTTAGGCTTAGTAAGTGGATTTTTAAAATAGATATTAAACTTTTATTCAGGAAGGTTGCATTAAATTGATTAAAAGTGACTAGAGACTTTACCACTGTTACAAAAGAGTTCTATTATAAATAAATGCTGTTCTTTTTTATTCATTAAAGAATACTGAAAAAAATCATATTACAGTTTCCACAAAAATATTAAACAGCGCAACTTTTCAACATTGATAATACGAAAAGTTTCTGAGCAGCAAATTAGTGTATTAGAATGATTTCTGAAGGATCATGTGACACTGAAGCCCGGAGTAATGATGCTGAAAATTCAGCTTTGCATCACAGGAATAAATTACATTTTATTAAAGTAGAAAACAGTTATTTTAATCTTAAAGGTGACATATCATGGAAATCTGACTTTTCCAGGTTTTAAGTTCTATAATCAGGTCCCCGGTGCATCTATCAACCAAGGAAACGTGAAAAAGATTAACCCAGTAACTTTGTTTTGGGAAGCCTTTTTCTGCAAGCATCTGAGAAAACGAGCGCGTCAAATTTCACTCCCTTGGTGACGTGGCAAATGGATCTTATTATAATATTACCGTCCCTTAATCTGTACGTTTACACCCATGGCACCGTCATTGTGTTTTCGCAAGCGACAATGGTGTACCAGCTCTAATGCCATGGCAAAAGTTTGAGCAAAACATGCTAACTGTTACTTGGTTGCACAGACGAGCACAGAACACTATTTAGAGTCCCAGCCTCAGAGGAGACAAGAGAGCAGTGGATTTATTGATTATTTAAAGGGGTCATATGATGTTGCTAAAAAGAACATTATTTTGTGTATTTGGTGTAATTAAATGTTTATTCAGTTTAAGGTTAAAAAAACACATTATTTTCCACATACTGTACATTATTGTTTCTCCTCTATGCCCCGCTTTTCTGAAACGCGTCGATTTTTACAAAGCTCATCGGTCTGAAAAGCGAGGTGTGCTGTGATTGGCCAGCTATCCAGTGCGTTGTGATTGGCCGAATACCTCAAGCGTGTGACGGAAATGTTAC